CCACAAGCTCAGGCGTAGCGTCGTTATCAAGACAGGAAATGAGCTTTGAGGTGCAATCCAACGAGCTCCTCTACGGAACTGCCTGTGTCTCACTGTTGTCCAAGTAAAGGCCCCTTTCTGGTCCAGGCTCCCCCCACATCGCGGTGCCTGCTCATGTCTCGTTAGGCAGCTCCATCTGGGACAGTTTCTCAGGCTTTCCTGACCCTGACCCTCTTAAAGAGCATCAGTCACCTATTTTGAGGAGTGACCCCCAGTTTGGGTTTGTCTCATGTTTCCTGGTGATCAGATTGAGGCTATGCATTTGGGGCTGGAATACCCGCTAAGTGATGCTTGTCCTTTCAGTGCATCATATCGGGGCACGTGATGCCCACGTGTCTCATCACTGGTGATGATGATCTCGACCTTGAGTAAAGTGGTGTCTGCCAGGTTTCTCCATTGTGAAGTTTTCCCATTGTAATGAATAAGTACTTCTGAGAGTATGGAAATATCATGTTTCTCATCATACTTTGCCACTAATTTTCATATCCGTTGATGGTTCTTGCCTGCAACGCACAGCAGACTTTGCAAAGTTTCCTAAAGAGGGATGATTTTGCATTTAGAACAAAGCACATGTATATTTCAATTACACTCAATATGCTACCAATCTTTCACTAGTGTCAGCACCTAACAACTGTAGATACTGCAAAGTATATTTTTCAAGTCTGTGTTGGTGCATTTTATTGAGTTATTTTGTTGAAGTTTTGCCTCAGAAATTCATTACATGTCTGTGAAAATTGCTCTTTTCTTTAGTCCTGGTTGTCTCCTTTCCCTGCTCTCAGTTTTTCCAATGCACAGAGCGCCGGCCTCCCTGTATGTGTGGATCTGTTAATTTATAGCTCAGCAGCATCACTGAAATGTGAGCTCCAAGAGGTGGGACCTTGTCTTGTTCACGGCATCAGTGTTGCCTAGAGTGGAGCCTGGCATCTAGATGGTACTTAAATAATCAGTGAAAGAACTAATCTAATTGTAAAACCAGTTTCTAAACTATTTCCCAACTTTTTGTTAGGAACATTTTCCAATATAGAAAGAGTTGGATAATAGGGCAATGAAATGCCTGTATTCCTGCCACCAGATTCAGTCAATGTTAACATTTCGCTATTTTACTGATGTGCTACCTGTGTGGTGATTATTTATCTATTTATTGACATCATGACGCCTCGTCCCCGCCATATACTTCACTTATTTCCTAAAAGTGAGGACATTCTTCTCCATCAGTTATTGGCAAACCATAGTCCGTGGGCTGAATCTGGCTCACCATCTGTCTTTGAAAATAAAGTTTTATTGGAACACAGCTATACCCATTTGTTTATATATTGCCCATAGCTGCTTTTGTGTTACGATAGCAATTGTTTGGCCCACAAAGCAGAAAATATTCCCTGTGTTCCCTGTGCAGAAGAGAGTTAACACAAGCCCTGACTGCTCTCCTTAGAAAGTCCTGCTCACACACAAGGTTGGCCCTTGGCTGGTGTCTGGGAACTTGGATTTTGAGGGGGTTCCCATCACCCCAACTGTGATAAGCATGCCGCACCAGTCGTAAACCCTTTGTACAAATAACACGGCTTGTGCTGACACTGGTTTTCCTTTAGGAATCTGGAATTTTGGTGCCCACGTGACCAGCCCCCAATAAAAACTCTGGGGCTGATCTCTGACCAGCTCCCGGGTAGACGTAATCTTGCACATGTTGTCACAGCTCCTTTCTGGGGAATTAAGTGGGTCCTGTGTAACTTCATCGGGAGAGGATTCTGGAACCTTCCCCCACTTTCCTTGGACTTCACTCTTTTCCCTGTGCTGATTTTGCTTTGCATCCTTTGTATTCATAATATATATCACAGCTATGAGTCCTCCTAGGAAATCAACGAAACTGAAGGTAGTCTTGGGGTCCCGTGACACATGGCCCTTTACAAAAAAAGTCCGCTAGCCCCATTCTACATAAATATTGTCACATCTAAGAAAATAAAAATTATCCTGCACGATAATCTAACATGTAGTCTAGTGTCAACCTAAAAGCAAATTCACTAGTTATTTTACCCTCAAAATGAGTTTATTAGGGAATAGCCCAAAGAACTGCAATTTGTGACGTGCATGCTATGGTGAACCATAGACAAATCCAGAGACCAAGGGAGGGGCTGCTCTTATAGAGAAAGGGGGAGAGGTAGGGGCTGTTCTAAAGGAAAGGCCATTGAGGGAAAGTAGCAGTTCAGGGCGGCAATGGCTTCTCATTGGCTGAGCTGTGGCGTTTCTCATTGGCTGAACTGCAGCGTTTCTCATCAGCTGAGCTACAGAGTTTCTCATTGGCTGAGCTGTGGCATTTCTCATTGGCTGAACTGCAGCGTTTCTCATCAGCTGAGCTATAGAGTTTCTCATTGGCTGAGCTACAGAGTTTCTTATTGGCTGAGCTGTGGCGTTTCTCATTGGCTGGGCGGTGGTGCTTCTCATTGGCTGGGCGGTGGGGTTTCTCATTGGCTGGGCTGTGGGGTTTCTCATTGGCTGGGCTGTGGGGTTTCTCATTGGCTGGGCAGTGGTGCTTCTCATTGGCTGGGCTGTGGGGTTTCTCATTGGCTGGGCTGTTGCCAGTGGGCGGAGAAGTCCTCCTTCAGTAGTAAAGTAGCTGTACTCCTCCAAGATGCAAGGTCACTCCCCTCCTGCTCTGCTTCGTGTCTAAAGCACCTCCAAGTCCACCTGTCAAGCCCACTCTGACCCTCCCCATGCTGCTTAGCTGCCCAGCAAGGCCCAGTCCTGGTGGATGAGTTTCCTGTGGCTGCTCAAACGCAGTTCCACAAATTTAGTGACTTAACACCACACAATGTCCGCTCTTAGAGGCTAAAAATGGGTGGGCAGGGCTGCTTCCTCCTGGAGGCTCCTGGGAGTCTGTTCCCCACCTGTTCCAGATTCTATAGGCACCCACATTCCTCAGCTTGTGGCCCCCTCCATCTCCAAAGCCAGCAGTGTAGCCCCTCAGTCTCTCCGACACTGACCCTCCCGCCTCCCTCGTGTAAGGACGCTGCAATGACACTGGGCCCACCCAGATGACCCAGGACATCTGCCATCCCAGGGTCCCCATCCTATTCACATCTGAAAGTCCCTTTTGTCCTGTAAGGTAACATTCACAGCTTCTGGGAACTGGGCATGGACATCCTGGTGATACCGGACCTGAAGTGAGCTTGCTCACCCCGTCATGCAGCAAGCCAATCTCTGACACCAGCTGTAGTGGAAGAAAGTAGGAATTTTATTGCAAAGCACTGAGCAAGGAGAACGGCCAGCTAACGGTGAAAGCTCAAGCTCCCTGTAAAGCCACAAGCAAGGGTTTTTACTTGGGGTGTTAGGTAGGGGAGGGGGAGCATGTGGCCTTGGGGCTGCAGTTGTAAGGGTCCTCTGTGCAGGTGCGACTGTCTGTTCTATGTGTTGCACGCGGTGGGTTTTTAGTCTTTGATGTCTAAGGTTTACAATCGGTCATTGTAGCTTCTCACTGCTCCTGCAAGATGCTTAGTCAGGTGGGGGCTCTCAGCAAGCTGCTCTCTCATCAGCCATCCTCCTGCTGTTCTGCAAGGCAAGCTCAGAAACTGGTTATTTTGTTTCCCATGTTAACCTTGTGGGTACAAGGCACAGTTCCACCCTAATTCAGGGAAATTTTAAATCCTTCCTCCTCAATTTTATCGAGGGGCACTGTTATTCTACCCGACACATCCTGTGATGGGGACCAGGGTGGGGTGGGGCACGTCCTGACCCAGTCACCTTTCCCTCTCAGAGGCTCTGAGCCAAATGTTCAGCAGGAGGATCACGCAGGCCCTCGAATCTCAACCATCGAGAGGACGCGGGTGCAGCCTTCCCCTGGTGGGGAGAAGACAGGCCTCACGTCCAGGCCCACCCTTGGGACCACGTTGGATTAGGGCTCTCACAGTCTGGGTTCCTGGAAAGGAGCGGGCCGAGCTTCAAGCTCCGGTGTTATTCGGGGCAGGTGCCATCCCAGGGTTGTGGGGTGAGGCCAGAGGAGGGGAGTGAGGCAGGGGAGGGAGAGAAGGTGCTGACCCAGCTGGCCAGGAGTCCCGCTGGGCTGCTGGGTCACGTGGGGGCATCACTGGAGGGGCCATGGGGACCACAGTCTCGCTTGCTCCCTCCCTTCTCTTCTAACTGGTCAAAGTTCACCCACAGGGGTGGGCAGCCCTGGGCCTTTGAGGTGTGCTGCCTGACCTCGGGGCAGCTGTGGGTCCCACTGGGTGGGGCGTCAGTGCAAAGCCAGGGACCAGATCGGGAGTCGCAGGCGAGGGAGGCGCAGACTCGGGGCCTACAGAGGTGAGCTGGGAACACGTCACTACCAGAGAGCCCTGAATTAGATGAGGGGTTCCATCCTCGTCCCGTCATTCGGTCATGTGTCAGCTACCTACCAGGTGCCAGGCACTGTGGACACCATGCTTCTGGTCACGTGGGAGAGGCAAATGACCAAAATACTCACACCAGTATTACAGGGGTACAAACCAATGTGCAGTGGGACTGACGGCTGGACGGGCACATGCATGTGTGGTCTGAGAGAGGGCACCCAGGTCCCCTTAACAAGGGCACCACCTTTTTGCATGGCCGTTCCCACCCTTCTTTGTCTGTCCGGTGGAGCAAGGAACCTGGGTGGCCTGGAGATGACCTGAGGACTTAGTTACAAGGTGTGGGTGAGCCACAGGGCGAGTGTGGTACCTGCTGGGCTAGAAGGACCAGCGCTGTCACCTCCTGGGGTGAAGGAATTGGACCCAGTAGGAGCAGTGACACTTGATCAATGCCTGAAGCTGGTCCTCAGAATTGGCAGGGAGGGGCCAGGAGAGGGAGCCCCCCTCCCCTCTGATTTCTAGGCAAACCCTGCAGGAAGTCTGAGGGCCTGGAGCCCCCTGCATGAGCATATGGGCCAGCCACCCAGGACAGGATCATTAACAAAGGGAGTTCCCAGGGGGAAAAGAAAGCATCACATGTCCACACTATCGCATGAAAATATTTATTTGTGGATAATCAGAAGTCAACAGGACCAGCACAGACAGACATGGCCTCTATACGCTGACAGGGAGTTTTGTTATAAACGCACCCACACGCGCACAGGACGCAGGCCTGGGAGACCACCACCCAGACCCACAGAGACAGTCCCTCCCTTGCAGCTGGGACCAAGGGGTGAGGCGCTTTGTTCTGAGACTACGTTACACCCTGGGAAGCCGCCCAGATCTGTGCTCCCTTCCAGGAAGGAGCAGGTCCACATGGGCTGGGCTCTGCCCCAGCATTTGGTCCCGTCAGTCCAGGTCTGCCATCCTTCGCCGAAATTCCAAGTAAAATTCTAAGTTAGAACATATGTAGCCATACAGTGAAAAGCATTCAAAACACCACCCACATACTTCTTGTCTCTGGGTGGGGGAAATGAAGAATTCACTTCCACTTCCCCAACATTAGACCCACACCTCCCACTGTCAAGACCGTGGTTCCAGGCATTGGCGGGGATGCGCCAGGGCTGCGGGCCTGCTGCAGGCTGGCTTCCACCCCCCTCACTCCTCGGGACACACCAGAAGGCTGCTCCCAGGGGGCGGGTCCCCGCTTCCATCCCCCAGCACTCACCCTCCTTGTGCCAGCTCAGTCTAGTGGATTCCCACCAGCTAACCCAGCCCCACGCTCAGAACAGTATGCGGGAGGGCGGCTGGCTCTGCAGAGCCGGTGGGTGAGCAGGCTGGGCCCTCGACTCATTAGGACCAGTTTCCCCGTCAGGGCCAAGGCCGCTCTGGGAGCTTCCTGAGCACAAGGGCTCAGGGTGGTACTGTCTCCTGTCTGTTCCAGTCTGCCCAATTCTGCCGGACGAAGGGCTGGCCCTTGCTCTCTGGCTTCAGAGCCAACCCTCAGGACAGCGATGCCCCAGGCCAGGGAGAGTGGCCCACAGCCTCATGTAGGCATCTCCTACCACAATGGGCTTCCCGCTGCAGAAAATCAGAACTGGCCCCCTACTGGCGTAGGGCCAGGTGCTGAGGGGAGGCCATAGGTGGGGGGCTTTGTTCACCCTGGGGCTTGGGGGTCCCCCAGCCTCATCCACAGCCGGGAGTCAGAGATGGCCCAGAGCCTCTGGCTCTGAGCACAGGGCTCTGCTTGGCTCAGACACTGGGAAAGCTGCTTATTCTGTTTATACCTGTTTATTCTGCCAGAATTTAAAAAGAAAATTCTAGGAAGAAATTTCCATTACTGTAAAGTTTTAAAATATTCTCTAAGTCAGATCTAGAGTTTCTCATTAAATTCTGTCCTAAACAAATGACCACACTGTTGTTTGTGAGCACAGATCACTAACGAAAGGCAGGAATGTGGTGTGTAAGACACTGTTTTTAATCAATGTCTCCGCACTTTGAGAACAGAAACCATTTCACACTGAGAATAAACTGCAGAAGCCCACAGGAAGATGCACGCACGACGAAAAGCCCACGACATTAGGAACTGTGAGGCCTGGCTGAGTGGCCACGCGTCCAGTGGAGCCTTCCAGCCAGCGGTGATGTCAGGACGAGCCTCTGGAACTCTGCCGGACATGTGCAGGGCCCCCACTCCCTGTGCAGCACGATACAGACCGAAAAGCCTGGTTCCATCACCAGGAAGAGAAAACTAATACACTGAAGAAGGGCCTCCTAGAAAGGCGGCTGATGTTTGCAACCCGCCAGGGTGGGGGCCGGGGCCTCCTGCCCACCACTGCCCTTCCTTCTTTGCCCTCACTGTCCCCCTACTGGCAGAGGCTGCAGAAGAACCTCCAGCCACCTGATTCTGCACCTGTTACCTGTCACAAAGCGACCACAGCACAGAGATGTGCACGCCAGCTCTGCACACAGCGAGGCCGTGTGTGTGGGTGCTCGATCACTGTACTTTGAGAGACCTGCCTGACCAGTGCCCGAGGGCAGAAATGGAGAGAATAGGAGGGGTCTCCTGGAGGAATGACGTCCATCCAGACCAACTGGGCCCACGTTCAAGTCTTCCCAGGCTTAGGGTAGTGGACCTGGCCTCCCAGAGCTGCCCTCCCCAGGGATGGGGTCCTTCTGAGTGCCCTCTCCAAGGACACAGGAGACAGCTCTCCAGGGAAGTCTTAATGCAAAGAGCCACAAGAAGTGATGAGAAGGGAAGGCCCCTGCAGCCTGGCATGGGAGGTGGCCTGGAACGAAAACAGGTGGGCTCAGCAGCCGTGCCCCTCTGACAGGCAGCACTGAGTGTGGGGGGCCATGTGGCTCCCACCCAGACTCAGAAAGCCAAGACTACCCTCACAGCATCCCCGTCTGCACAGAAGCCATTCTGCTCGCTCACAAACGCCACTCCCTTCCTTCGGCCCAGGCAGGGGCTGAGTGGACCCCAGCCCACGGGAGACGCACGTGAAGAAGGCCCGAGGGACAAGCGGGCGGCAGAGGAGGAGGACACGGATTCCTAGCTGTTCTGGCACCAGAATGCAGTTATGTGGTCACGGGGCGCCTCAGATGCACATCGAGATGGTCCCGGACACCCCAGGCAGCTGGTCCCATCAAAGGGCAAGAGGACAAGGAGAGGGTGTGCGTGCCATGGAGGTCCAGCGGCCAGAACACTCTCACCTCCTCTTTCGTACATTTCAGGTGAGGAGCGAAATGAGGTTTAAGCCATGAGATGGATTGTGGGTCAGGGTGTACTCAGGGTAGCCAGTCATCCCAGGCCCCACCCGCCTGGCTCCTCTGGGATCAGAGGACTCACCCTCTGCTTTATCTCCACAGGGGCCTGAGGCTCCAATGCACAGTTTCTTTTCTCGCCGTGGATGACGTCAGTGGGGAGGTGACTGTTACACCAGGACTCAGGTGTCACGGTGTAGGCTGCACGCTGTTGACATTGAACACACCCTCCACTGACTCAGCACAGTCACGCCAAGCCGGGCTCGGTCCACTGGGGCACGAACCAACGTGCTGCAAATCAGTTGCAACACGTTTAAGAACAAACAACAAGGCTTCCTTTTGACCATCACTGACATGTATTGCGAAAGAACACAGACGAACAGGACGGCCTCAGCAGGCGAGGCAACGATTCAAGACTGGTTAAAAGAAAAGGATTCATATCTCATAACTCCACTTTAAGGTCTACAGGAGAAGGTTTGAAAAACTGGAAAGTACTAAAAATCTATAGTCTGATCATCAGCAGGCGATTCAAGGCCAAGACATCTCTCATCTCGAAACAAATATTACTTTGCATGTTACTGAACCATGGGAAAGGAAGAACAAAGACGAATTCTAATTTGGACCCAACCTGTATCAAGAGCCAAGCCAATGGACCCTGGGTAACTTCTGGATGGGAAACTCCACACACAGACCATCCAGAGCCTCTGCTGTCACAGACGGAAGATGTCCACGCAGAAAGGACCTAAGACAGCACAAGGTTGGCAACAGCACGAGGAAAGGTACGCTTTGGATACAGTTTTCCATGGAAGCTGTTATTTCTACGTGAGCCTCCACCCTGCAAAGGCTCTCAGGAGCTCCCAGTGCTTCCTGCTCGGTACGGAGGGCTCAAGCCTCAAGTTCTCCTTGTGGTCCGGGCCTTACAGCCAAAGGAGACAGGAGAAGGTCTGGGGCTCGCCAGAATCCATGATTTTACAGAAAGCTCAACAGGGGGAACAGTCTCATCACTCTATGTCTAATAAAGGGAGGGAATGAATGAGAGCTTGTGTCGGGGGCTAAGCCTCCAGAATAAGACCTAAAGGACCCAGGAGCAAATCGTGTGTGCAGGGTGCGCCTCCTTCAAGGGCACTGTACACGCAGAATAAGCCCCACGACCAGGACCGGGTTTGCAGGGCGGCTTTGCACCACTGCGCTGAAGAGGGATACATTCAGGTTCTTTCTCTAGTCTTACACTTGCTCTTGATAGTAAAAAAGAAAGAAAAGCAGCTTTTCCCACTGGCTGGCGATGTGGCCGTCTCCCCAGCTCTACTCGGCAGTGACAGGATCTTCTGTGGAAGGCGCCACGGAGGCCCAGGGCCCTGAGTGACTGTGGCTGCCCCCGCTCACCGTGTTGGGGAGGCTGCCCCCCCCAGGCCGCCAGCCACAGCCTTCCTCCTTCTCCAGGCCCAGTGGGCTGCGCCCCGAGGCACAGAGGAGCCTGGTCCTCGGAACCAGGAGACACGACAGGGACACACATGCCCTGACCCGCTGGCCGCCATGGCGAGCCGAGACCCACTGACCCTGTGCGCGGGCCGCCGGGGCACGCTGATGCCTGAGAGTTAAGACATTCAGAACGTGAGCAGAGCGGAGAAGAAAGAAGAGCGGAGTCGCACAGCAAGTCGGTGGAGACCGGGGTCTCTTCCCCTTAGGGCTTTCTCAACTAAGTGAGGACAATTCTAGTGGAGAGCTGAGAGGCCCTCTGGAAGACACTGGAACTGCCACAAAAGAAGGTGCGGGCTCCAGGAGAGGGCCTGCCTAGGGGGACAGCGCTGTGGATGGGGGGACAAGGGCTGTCCTTGGAATGTGCTTTCCCAGGGGCCCACATCCAGGCCCCCCACATTCTGCCATCTCCCCACTTCTCTCCAGGCTGTAGGTTCCCGGGAGATGCAAACCTCTGCACCCCCAGACCAAGACGGGGGGCTGCTGAGATCAAGATACGCTGAGTCTTCAGGAGGGGCACCCGGCAGTGGACAACTGGACTAGAGTCACGGCCTAGGTGTGGCCTTCGCTCGAGGCACGGAGAGCTGCTCCTCTGAAGCTCTGCCCCCTCCCCTCTCAGCTTTGGGGAGGGACGAGAGCCGGCTTCTGCAAGCCTCTCGCTTCCTGGCCTCTGGCCGGCACAGAACGCAGAAGGGGGGCTACGAGGTAACTGGCCGGTGGGGTGAAATATGCCGACAGTGGGGGGCAGGAGCCCTCTGTATCTGTCTGTACACTAACACCATGGCACAATGCATTTGTCACCAGCAGCAGGTGGCAAACACAGGGCTTAACTTGTTGTACCATAAACTAGGCGAGTTTTCACAAGGACCCAGTCATCACCCCCAGCACCAGACTTTTCTTTATCTCTGCCACGTCCCCCAGTGAGTTACAAGGTGGTCCCGCTGATACACGTGAGATTTACGGACCCACTTGAGTTTTCGGGGTCCTGGAAAGGTCCCCACCAAAGTGACAGTGCAGGGTCTGTGTGTGTCTGAGCCCGCTGGCATTAACCTGTCCATACGGCAGAACGAAAGCGGAACATCTGAAATCCCCAGGGATCTAACAGGCGGCAAAGTCAGAAATAAAAACATTCTGATGCAGGAACAAAGAAGGAAGGGCAGAACAGCAATAAAGATATTTGGCATAATTCTTCTGATGCGGACAGTTAAAACCGGGCACGGTCTCAGAGACGCACAGACACGGGGGCTTCCCCAGGCCCAGCCCACGCGGGACGGGGATCCCACAGACCCCCGAGCCAGCCGAGGAGGACACCCCTGAGACGGTCAACACGGAGCTGGTTTTCCAGGGAGGCCCAGGAGCCTTCGGGGGGAGGGGAGCTGTTTCCAAATTAGAAATTTCTGTGATCGCTTTGTTATTTTTAAAAAGCACAACTGGCACGTTTTCACAATTAAGACCAGTGGATGCTGGACACTCATGAAAGAAAAAAAATCTCAAGTTTCGGTCACAGCTCTAAGGCAGACGTTACACTTTTCACAGGAATGAAAATGGAGACACCAACACGCTGTGCGTCGGGAGGTGGTGCACGCGGCCTCACAGCACCGTGGCCTGGACGACGATCTCCGGGTTCTCGATGTCCTTTTTGCTCTGGACCATCCTCAGCTCCAGCTGGGCCGGGTTGGGCTTCAGTCCTTTCCCAGCCTGGGCTGCAGAACGAACAGAGCGTTAACGGAGCGGGCGGGGCCGGGAGAGGCGATGCTTAGTTTCTCTCCTCCTACTGCCTTCGTCCGAGCCCCCCGCCGTCTGGATTACTCAGGAGTTCCTCTCTCAGAAGGGGGCTCCGAGCTGCTGCCCAATGACCCCAGGCCTGAAGGCCAAGGCCAGGGAGCCGGCGGAAGGCAGGGACCTCATTCACAGTGGGACAAAGTGGTCACACCAGAGTCCAGTGGGTGTCTCCCTCTCCCACCTCTCTGACTGAGGGTCCCAGACACAGCGCCGGCCAACGAGCCCGCCTGCGGGAAGGCTACGCGGTACCTTTTGCACATTTGATGGTCCTCTGCAGAACGTGATGCATGGCTGACACGGTCTTCTCACAGGCCACCTGCAGGGAGGAGAGAAGCACTAGATCCCCCCCCCCACTCGACTCTCTGCTCCCTCTGCCGCCCCAATGGGATTTCCCACCGACACAAGCACCGTCCCCGTCCTCTGAGTCACCAGGGCCCTGACCACCATCACATGCTCCCCAAACCACCACGGGACAGCCCACCGCAAAGATCCCAGCGCTGAGCAGGTGCCTGCCTACTAAACTAACCGCCTCCCTCTCGACCACAAACAACTCTGGGGCGGGCCTGTGTCTCGCGACCTGTCAGGATTGCCTGGTATGTCGTAGGTTCTTAATAACTGTTCCTGGAATGAACTGGTCATAAAGAAGCTACACAGGAAAGAGCTCCTGCCCCAAACCTGGCCAAAGTCATCACCTGCCGGCGTCTCAAAGTCAAAGACTCAGGCTTTAGCTGGTGCTGAGGATGCAAGTGGAATGCCCGCCCCCTCCACCACCAACTCGGGGAGCCGGGGCCGCGCTGAACCCAGACTTGGCCTTAGGCAGCCCAGCAGCGAGGCCTCCTCCAGGCACCAGCTGGTCCAGATGTGGCTGCCTGGACCAGACGGAGCTCCCGTGGCTGCTAATTAAACACGGCAGGTCTGCCTCACCCTGGGCCCAGGAGGGAGGCAGGAGGGGGCGGAACTGGCGAGGAGACGGGCACCTGTCAGCTTCGTGTCACAGCACTCGCCCCTGAGCCTCCCTCATAGGGGAGAGGAAGGGGTGCAGCCCCAGGCCTGCATTTCACAAACACAGAGGGGGGCGAGCATCTGTCCCAGGGGAAATGGGGCCCCTCCAGGTGCCCGGCAAAGACAGCTTCAGGGGAATCCACTCCCAGATTCCCCACCTCCAAGTTCTTCCCTCCTCAAGCGGACACAGAGGCCAGTTCCTCTCTCCGACCCCTCCCCTCCCAACCGCACCCTCCCCCCCCCCCCCCCCGCATTCTCAGGCGGTGGCAGGCACCACCCACCCGAACCACTGAGGTGTGCAGAGCGGGGCATGCAAGGGGCCCCAGGGCTGGGATGGCCCCGTGTGCACTGGCTTTCTAATTCTTTGGTTTCGGCAATGTTGAGGCAGGACATGTGCTGGTCGTCACCGCTGGGCATCAGAACAATCAGATAAGATATCACAATGCAGCTCTTCTGCTCAAAGCACAGAAGGAGGTCAAAGAATGCGCCGTGACTCCTGGGGTCACCGTGGAGCGCAGAGAAAAGAGCCCGCACCCCACACCCCGATTCACCAAATCCGTCTAGCAGCGGACCGTGCTCCCAGCACTGCCTGAGCAAAATGGCTCTCTCTACACAGATGCATTTGTGGGCATTTGCACACAAAGCAGGGGGCACCGGCATGGGGACAACACCTGGAAACAGGTCTTATCCAAGCAAGTCTGACTCCAGAGCCCGCCCCTCATGCCCCAAGGGGCTGCGAGCCGCCAGTCTAAGGTCACTGCAGGAGTTAATCTCAGGACAAACTTGCACGGTGCTGCTCTCCTGGAGGATGCTCCTAGCTACTGAGGCTGAACACCACCTCTCAGTCGTAGCCAGAGCCCTCAGGTGCCCTCTGGGTCAGGACTTCCCCACGGGCAGGACCCGGACGACTCCAGGATGCTTTAAACACGTCCTGTCTAGACCCCCACAGCACCCTGACCGCCCCTGCTCACAAACGAGAGAGATGGTGGGGAGTGGGGCTGGGGCTCACCTAGACGGGGACTCTGGAGCCCAGCCCGACCACCCTCCCCGCCCCCGGCTCACGGTGAGCCTCGTCTTCCCTCCCCGTCTGGGGCCCATGGGAAGCAGCTCCCCGCAGAGGCACATGGGGCAGGGAGGGGTGTGTCCTGCTGACCTTGAGATTATTGGGGTGCTTGTGCGTCCACGCCAGGAGCATGGCGGCAAAGAGGTCCCCGGTGCCCACGAAGACCGCGTCCACCCTGCGCATCTCCATGCGGATGCGCTCCGTCACCACGGAGCCATCGGGGCTCCCTGGGGGAGAAGAGCAAGGCTGGCTGGGACCCGAGCCCCTCGGCAGCAGAGGGCCAGCCCCACGGGGGGAAAACTGGCCTGCCCTCCTCCTGCCCTGCAGGCCACAGGGAAGCTAGCGCTGCCCGCCCAGGGCTCAGTGCCTCCCGGTGCCCCTAACGCCCCCCCAGCAGCTGCCCCTGTCCCAAGGGGGGAAGTGGAAGACTGGAGCCCCGGAGGACCACACAGTCAGGCAGGCCTGGGGGGACAGTGTGCAGCTCAACAAGAGGCCAGCACACGTGATATGACGAGGACGGAGACCACAGCCCCGGGGGAGTAGCAAGGGCACCTAGAACTGTGGGGACCGTGTGAACTTAACAGAGTGGGGTGTGTGTGCGTGAGGGCGAGTGTATGTGAGTGTGCGAGTGTTCTTTCACACAGACACAGAGGGATCGGCCAGCAGGCCCCGTACGGGCTGCCTAGGTGTGAGCCCCGCCTTCCGTGTCATTTTAATGCTGTGCACGGAACACCAACTCAGGTGGCACTTGCATGAGTGAACCACCAACACAGTGGGGCACGGAACGCCCTCCCAGTGAGGTCAGCATGGGACCCAGCTCCGTGGGAGGGGAGGCATGCGGACGCCTGGTCTCCCAGGAGCCGGCCCATTCCATGTGGCCCCTGAGCCCGTAAGACGAGATGTGGACCCTGAGCTGCCCGCGTGGTGGTGGGCATTGAGAGCTGCTCGGTGACCACAGGGGAGCCGGTCAGCACCCTGTGCTCCATCGCACCCCGTGTCACAAAAACCTTTCTTTGATTCTGTTTTCAGTCTGATCTTTCTTGAGGTGACGGGAGTTCAGGAAACTGACTACCTGCTGAGTATGGCATGATTTTCCTCCTATGGAACCCAAAAGCTTCTCAGAAAACTCAGGGACATGGGGCGGGCGGAAAGGCAGAAGGGAGCCCAGTGCCGTGGCAAGGGCCAGCGCAGGACTCACGCATCCTCTGGCTCCCCAGTGCAATCAGGTAGTCGTTGCCCCTTGGGGAGGGCAGGTCGGAGCTGGTGATGACCACCGTGTCGGGGCCCATCGAGTGCAGCACGTCCATCACCTGCCGGAGCACAGGCAGCGCATCAGCTGAGGCCCGGGCACCCACACGGGGCTCTGGCAGCCGTTGCCCCAGGCCCATGAGCCCAAACAGCCAGGCACGACGGGAACTCGCGCCTCAGATGTGCTCTTGCATGGTCTGGCTTAACGGGATGCAGATGACAGAAGCCGAGAACATGGGGCACCGCAGCCCGGTCCCAGCCCACCCTCACCAGTTCGTGCCCACCGTGGGGCAGTTTTGCTAGCTCAGAGCGGCCATCCCCATTCCCTGCAGCTTCAGGTCCAAGGGTGCATGCCTGCTGGCCCCCATGCCACACCCTCCCTGTGCTCACATTCCACAGGAAGACAGCAACCACACCCAGGCCGCTGTCCTTCCTCATCCCAGCTCCAGGGTGGCAAAACCACACACACCACCAAGCAACAACTGCCCATTCTGGGAGCCACTCACTTGCTCATTCATTCAGTCAACAAACATCTGTAACACCCAGGGTCTGGAGCTCCCTGCCCTCCGAGGGCACAATGTCTTGTGACAAAATACCCACCAGGCTAAACCAAGGCTCAGGAAAGTGCCGGCTGAGCCACAGCGGCAGGCCTGGTATGGAGAGGCTGGGGCAGGAGACAGGGAGGGCCTTGTCACAGGTGGGAGGCTGTCTCCGCTGTCCCCCGTGGGGCCAGCGCCCACTGAGCTGCTCGGGACTCCCCCCCTCTCGTGGGGTCACTCTGAGAACCTGAAAGGCTCCTGTGCAGACCCTGAATTGTGCGCACACACTCAGAGTTTCTGGTGCCCCGGGGCCAGTGTGGACTCCAAGTCACATTCTCCAGGCCGGGGAGAGGCTGGTCCCTGAGTCATGGCATGGCAGCCGCTGCCCTCCCCTCGTAGCCGGGGCCACAGAGCAATGAGGAACTGATACGTCTTCCTTATGCAACCGCCTCAGAGAAATGCTTGTGATCACACAGGCAGGCGGTGGGTGCCCTTTGCTCCAGAGCCCAGTGCAGGCTGTGGGCGACATGTCCCCCGCCATGCACGCAGGCACATGCACTCACACACGTAAACACACACGGGGGGGGTCACCCACCCAGCACCCACTTGCTCTGGGCACCACACGTTGTGCCAGGTCAGAGAAAGGCCTCAGAGCGGGAGGAGGGCACCCTCCCACCCTGTCCCCCTGCGCCAGCGTCCCCTCTGCACATCAGGGAAACAGAGGCACTGCAGCCCCATGGGCCCAGGTGTGGCCATGACTGGCCGCCTCCAGCTCTGACCCAGGGACGTGGCTCCTTGGAGGGTATTTCCTGGACAGGGAAGAGAGCTCATGCTTCTGATGAGGCCCAGCCACAGACAGCATGAAGCTGGTGCTGGCCCCTGGCAGCACGCCGGACACAGGTCTGTTGCTTGGGCAAGCAGCCCAGAGGGTGGCAAACCATCTAACGCTCCAGGCAGACAGGAGGCCAGGACTGTCAGGAGTCCCGGAGGGAAAGTCAGAAGAAAGCTCACCCTGGGCTGCAGCTCCTGCCGCACACTGCCAGCCCACCCCTCCTGACGACCGGCCCTGCAGGTCCCGGGCGTGCCCTGCCAGCCCCCACTAGGGGCCAGCCACTTCCTTGCAATCAATCTCTTCCTACACACGCACACACACACAAGTGCGTGCACACACACATACACATGCATGCTGCACACTCTCACACGTGCGCGCACACATCACATGTATACACATGCATGCATACAGACTCCCCCCACATGGGCATGGACACACGCACCCACCCCTCTTCCTGGTCCCTGGTGGACCCTGACAGCTATAGACAATTTTTGGTCCACACGAGGGAGAAACAAGTGGACGGTACTAGCGTGCACCTGGAGCCTGCTCAGTGCGTGTCCGCTTCTCTGACCGTCCGCCAGGCGGCAGAACCTCGCCCTGCAGTGGGCCTTCCCCACATGCGGGCTGGGCCAACCCCACAGCCTGTGGAGGGGCCCCTCCCACAGACGCACAGGTCACGGGCACCAGGTGCAGCTGCTGCTTCTCTCTGAGCAGGAAGGCGGGGACCAACGAGACCAGGGGACAAGCTGGGACGCAGACGTTACACACGGCGTGGGTGTGCTGCAGGACCGGGCAAGCCAGACGCACGGCGCTGGCACAGAGGGAACTCTCAGTAAACGCTGTGACTATTATGGGCTGAACTGTGTCCCCTAAAAGGAAACCATGAGGCCCAGGCCCCAGTCCCTCAGAATGGTTCCTACTTCCTTATTTGGAGATAGGGTCTGTGCAGATCTGATCAAGTTAAGATGAGGTCTTTTGGGTGGGCCCTAACCAGGGATGACTTGTGTCCCTATCAGAAGAGGCGACCAGGACACAGACACACACGGGGAGAATGGCAGTGAAGACGGAGAGGCGTCTACTAGCCCAGGAACGCCAAGATCACCAGCAACCACTGGAAGCTGGGGGAGACGCCAGGAGCAGATTCTTCCCCGCAGGATTCAGACAGGGCGCGGCCCCACCAGCCCCGATTTGGGACTCCTGGCTGCCAGACCCACGAGAGCACACTTCTGCTGTTTCTGCCGGGGTCTGTGGCACTTTGTTACGGCCGCCCCAAGACTCTCACACGGCGACTGCTGCACGAGCAGAGCAGACCCCGACAGCACTGAGCGGCGGGTGGCCAACCAAGTGGGCCAAAGAGACTGACATCACGTCCCCTGGCCCTGCTGGCTGGCTGACTGGACCCAGGATGCTGGCCACTTGGGGTGCCCATCTCCCATCCCCGAGGGCATGTGGCCGCCCCCTCCCCGCCATGAGCAGTGCCTCCTGTCCCACACCAGGCCCCGGAAGCTCTCCTTACCGCTAACGCCTCTTCCTGGCTGTGGATCTTTCTGCCGCTTAGCAATCTGGAAGACAGGTGAGACGTCACTTCTCTGGGTTCTGCCTGTGACGTTCCCAAAGCTGTGGTGGCCCTGGACATGTCCCTCCATCCCCAGAGGGGGCTAACTCAGCACCTGCTGGCCATCACCCACCAGGTGGCACTGTGACGTGTCTGGGGACCAGTCAAGAGTAACATTTAGTTTTCAAAGGGGAGTCTCACACATCACAGGGGTGTGGTGAAGTTCCACATTGTGGCTACGTTTACGTGCGACAAGAGTGAAGGACAGCAGCCACATCAGGCCTGGCACTCAGGCAGCAGGTATCTGCCCGACTCCGGGATGGCCTGCCCCCAATCTCCGTGCAAGATTTCTGCTCCTCCAAGGCAGAACCTTCGGAGGAGCCCCTCAGTGGCCTGAACGAGCAAGCCCAGGGCAGACATGGGGACGCTCCCCACACACCCCTGTCGCTCTCTCCTTGGGGAGGTCTGAAAGCATCAGCCATTTCTAATTACTTACTCAGCCTCAAACTGGTTGGGGGTTATAATGTCTGCAACCGGCACAACCTTTTCTTTGTAAACTGGAAGGAGGTCCTCTGGAACGTACTGAGGAAGAGAGGAGACAGGAGCACAGGCTGATGCACCCAGAAGAGGAGGAAACGAAACCCAGGAACGTTCGAGTCCAGGCTTGGGGACTCTGACTGTGCAGAAGAGACATTCACACCACAGGGGCAGTGTGTGGGGACCCAACGGCTCCCAGGGGCCTGAGGGAGGGCCAGGGTGCCTCCTTCCATCCCTAACATCCTAGGCTTCTATGGAGGCCCTGGCGTGACTTTCTACCTTCTCCACTTTACGCCGTCACCCACTCTGTCCCAGGGCAGGTCGGTAAGCTGGGTCCACTGCCTGTGTACAGCTTGCAGGCTGAGAGCTATTTTCACTTTTTGTTTTTTAAAGTATGCTTTTTGGTGAGGAAGATTGGCCCTGAGCTCACATCTGTTGCCAATCTTCCTCTTTTTTTTTTCTCTCCCCTCCCCAAAGCCCCAGAACATAGTTGTATATCCTAGTGGTAGGTCATTCTAGTTCTTCTATGTGGGACGCTGCCTCAGCATGGCCTGATGAGCGGTGCCACGTCCGCACCCAGGATCTGAACCAGTGAACCCTGGGCCACTGAAGCAGAGTGTGTAAACTTAACCACTCAGCCACAGGGCCAGGCCCCGATTTTTATATTTTTACAGGGTTGGGAGAAACAAGTCAAAAGATGAGTAACATTTTGTGACACAGAGAAATTACAGGGAATTCAAATTGCAGACAGTCCATACACAAAATTTTACTAGAAAACAGCCATGTCCGCTCATCTGCAAACTGTTTGTGGCTGCTTTTGGCTACAACAGGGACCACAGCCCCAAAACACCTACTCTCTCGCCCTTTATGGAAAATCTCTTCTGCAAACCTGCTTCTCCTCCTACCCAGGGTTATGTCTTCAGCCCGAGTGCAGTCTCCCAGCCAGGCATTTAGAGAACCGGTGTCCCATGTTTTGATTAACAGCAACGGGTCCACTCACCCCCCTGATATATGCATGAAATTACTAACCATGGAGCCCTCGCCGTTCCACTTGTCACCCATCACCGGATCACACACTGGAGAGACACAAAGGGCGTCTTATCAGCAAAAGCTGCAGCGGATGAGAAAAGAGCGCTCGACGCTGACGTCTGTTGTTAAATCTCACGTATGCAACTAAAAGCTGGGAAAAAGTGTGGCCTCCCATTCTCATTTATCCTGTCACCTGGCACTGAGCATTTTGTTGTCCTGCCCCACCCGGGGCATCCATCCCCACCCTCCCTAGGGTCAGTGGTGGTCGTGCACCTCACTGCAGGGCCTGGCAGCCCAGCCTCCACATGCCGACGCTGACTACAGCATGCTCCTGACCTGCTTCTCTCACACAGACGCCAGGTTCACTGTGAAGACGTTTCTAACCCACGTTCTCAAGACTCACATCCGTGGAGGCCCAGCAGATTCACACTCACGGGCTGGGAGAGGCGGCACGTGAAGGGGGCGCCCAGAAGGAAGGGGGCTGAGCTGCCATTCACAGGGGCCCAGGCCAACCCCACTGGAGAAGGTGGCGGCCCCGAGGGCGCGCGGGGTGAGCGCAGCGCCTACCGTACACGAGCCTGGGGTTCTGCTGCTTCAGCTCCCGCACGATGTCCACCACCATGGCCAGGAAGGACTTGTCCCTCGTGTAACCTTTGGGAGGGAAATCCAGGCCACCCTCACAAAACAGAAGGCTCACGCCAGCTGACAGCAGCAAAAGGGAAATAACCACCATAGCAAGTGTTCCTCCCTGGAGAACGGCTGGCTGTTCTCAGATCCTGGGGCCAGGGTTAAAATGAAGTGTCCCCAACAACCGGGGCAACCAAGGGGACACCAGGCATTTCCCAAAAGAAAGGTCAAGTTTTAAAGGAAAGGAAGAGGCCACAGTGACAGGTGTACAAGGAATGTTCTCCTCCTTCTGTCCTTTCACTTGCAAGAATAAGCATATTCACTTTTAACTATGTATGTAAATACAATTGGGTACTTCTTTTACCATGAGAGTTTGTAAACAAACCCAACGCACCAGGTGGCAGCGTATTGCTCCCCTGGGTGTTTTCACCCCCCGACACCTTCCCCAAATCCCACCTGTCCCCTGCCGTGGGCTCCAGAACCCCAGTGTGGTGACTTGGCTTGGCCAGGACAGTCATCATCCAAGCAAGAACAGCCTGGCCAGGATCCCAAGGTCATGCTATGGGGTCATGGCAGTTACTAGAGTTCCACCGGGTTCTTGGTGGCACACGCCACGCCCCCTTGAAGGAGGCAGGGACCAAGGAGAAGCACGGGAGTGGGGGTGCTCCGGGCCTTCCCCAGCCCAGTCCGGCTGGAGTGAGCCCCACCAGCACCAGTGCTCAGCTCCCTCCGGGCCTCACCTGTGAGCACATAATCATATTTGTTCACGTTGTTCAGCTTCAGACCTTCGTACAGCTCATGGAGTTCATCTGAGTTCAGCACCTGACCCTTCCAGTGTGTGTAGCCTGTGGAGAGAGCCGGACACTCAGGGCCCTGACACATGGGGACACGGGTGAGACACAGCTCACCTGATGGCCCACTGAGGCCCACACAATCGGCCAGTCACCCCCGATGACGCCAGCGGATGGTCCTTTCCCCAGGGGTTGCTGCAAGGACTCAGTAAGGTCACCCAGGCATGGTGCCTCGGTGGGCCCTCCTGGGCCATCAGCCTCAAAGAACCCCCTGGAAGGTCCTCTGGCTCTGACACTGTCTGGGGTTGTTGTTACTGACATCAGGGTCCCACCCTCCCACAGCAGTTCCCTCTGGAATTCACCCAGTGCAATGAGGGCGGTCAGCTCTCCAGGCCAGCTAAGGACGCCTGTGGAACCTGTGTCATGTTGAGAGATGGGACGCGGGGAGGGACACGCCAGACCCACAGAGCTGTGTAACTTCTCCCTATCTGTAGCAGGGCTCCTGGGGGTGACCCCCCCCCCCCATGTCACAGTCACTTGCTTTGCCAGCCTCTACCATACATGTTTCCCCATCCAGGACAAGTTGTTCCATCACTGTCACCTGGGCACCTGGCAGGTGAGGGCTTGTCCTGTCCTTGCCCGCACCCCTCCCCGACAAGGCTGAGTTGCAACAGAGCAAGTCTTGGACCAAATCGCAACCAGGAGCCACATGTGAATTAGAAACAGGCCCAGGGGCTCGACCTGCTCTCGGCCCCGAAATGTACCCAGGTGAAGCATTCCCTCCAGGCAGACAGACATGGGGGTGGTCTGCGGGGGGACCTTCCTGCCATGCGGGACCCTTGCTCACCCAGGCTCAGGTAGGGGCAAGGTGGAAGGTCAATGGCTAGCCCATACATGCGGGGCGGGGCTGCACCATGGACACCCCGCATTTCACCCATGAAAACGCGTTCCTGGCATCCCTTAGGCCCTGAGGGATCCCTCTGATGGATGCGTTTCTAAGCACGAAAGTCAAAACCTCAGGAGGGTGGATTCCCACAATAGCCAAGTCCATCTGGACCACCAGGCGGTGGATCCCGGTGGACAGGCCCATGTCCTCACCCGGCTACAGGCTTCCTTCAGGCGAAGCCCCACAGGCCAGGCAGCGCAGGCCCAGAGGAGAAGGGGCGACGGCTCCCTCCACCGGGTGGCCTGTGGGCGTGAGGGCTGGCTCCCACCCGAGGCGGAGCCATGGTGAAGAAGCTAGTCTGGAACAAACACCCAAGAACACCTGTCAAAGCAATTCTCCAGGGACTGCTGTGGCCTCTGGGACGTCAGCCAGGGGCAAATGCCCACCCTGTATGTTCCATCAGAAGACAGCGGCGTATCCATCAGACCGAGAAACTGACTGACCCCTGTTAGCCGGGTAACCTCAGGGGCAGGAGGGGCAGGGGTGTCCACCACGGGCCAAGACCAGCTTCTCGCGGCTCCGGCTCAGGTGTGCATTAGGAGCTGGCCATGTCCCAGGCAGGCGTTTGCTCCACAAAGACCTGGGCTGCCACAGAAAGCCCGCAGCCCAAGGGTGGGGGAAAACGGTCCTTCCTGCCCCTCGGTTTTCCAAACATCCTACCAGACAGGGTGGGACCTAAGGCGACTGCACAAGTAGTATATTTGTGTCCTAGGGCGGCGGTGACAAAGTCCCCCAGACCGGGCGGCTCCAACAGCAATTCTGGAGGCCAAAGTCCAAGATCAAAGTGTGGGTAGGGCTGGTTCCTCGGAGGCCTCTCTCCTGGGGTGTGTAGACGGCATCTCCTCCCGTGTCCTCACATGTCCTCTGTGTATCTGTGTTCTGATCTCTTCTCATAAAGACACCAGTCAGGTGGGACGAGGGCCACCCTCGTGACCTCATTTTACCTTAATCACCATCTCACAATACAGTCACATTCTGAGGTGCTGGGGGTTAGGACCTCAACACACAAATTTGGGGGGACACAATTCGGCCCGTAACACGCAGTGACAAAGGTGAGTCACACAGACCTCCAGGTCTCAAATGCAGGGAATCACGCAGAGCACGCAGCCCCTCGGTGAGGCCGGCTTCCCAAAGAGACAAGGGGGCTTGGTCCACACCTTTGAGCCCTCCTGCCCAGTTGCTCCTTCTCCATGGCTCAGGACAGGTCCAGAGCCTTCCAGACCCTTCTGAAACAGGGGAGGGGCACTTGGACCCTCTCTCCAACCCATCAGGTTATGGATGAAAAAACAAACTCTGCAGAGGTCGAGCGAGTGACCCCAAGGGACACAGCTCCTCAGGCAGCCAGAGCGGGCCCAGCAGGCCCGTCCCGCCCCAGCCTGCAGGGAAGGCCCCTCACTGTCCCCAGCCATCAGGCTCCTGGTGTCCACACCAGCTACCTCTCCTCCCAGGATTTCACCACTTGGCCTGGCAGCTGGTCACACTAAAAACTGTAAGCGCCAAGCCAGCTGGGCCTGCCCTGCCCACTGACCTCCAGTGCCACCAGTTTCTTCCAGCTGTCCCCGGGGCAGGGATCCTGGCTAACAGGCAGCTCGAGGACACCTGTGCGGAAGGAGCAACTTGAGCACACTGGGTGGGCAGGCGCTGCTTCAAAGCCTGGCGCTGCCCTGGAAGGCAGGCCCTGGGGGAGCCTCCCCACGTCCCAGAGGGCAGAAAATGAATTGGGGTGGAGGCCTTGCCTGTTGAAAGAGGGCCTGTAAGAATGCGGGCTGGGGAAAGCTGAGCAGAGAGCCATCCTGAGACGGCTGTCCCCAGAAAGGCCAGCTGCAAGGCCGGCCCCCACTGGCGTCTTGTAACTTGCATTCCCCCATTCGCAGAACTGAGAAGAGAGGCTCACTGTTTGCAAGAACAATGTGCTTTGTGCCGCCACCTGCTTTGCCTGAGAGGCGAGAATTCGGTGCACGCCAAGCAGAAGCTGCCCACAGGACCAGCCCCCATAAAAATCCCAGGCGCTGATCTCCGACGAGCTCCCCGGTAGACGACATGTCACATGTGTTGTCACGGCTCCTCGCTGGGGAGTTAAGTGCGTCCTGCGTGACTCCGTGGGAGGGGCTCTGGAAGCGTGCACCTGGTGTCCCCGACCTCCCCTCATGCTTCCATTCCCTGCGGTACTCTTTAGGCTTTGCCGTCAGACAGCATAGCCGTGAGTCCTCCTAGCCCGTCACCGAAACTGGGGGTGGTCCTGGGGACCCCTGGCACAGTGGGGATCCACCCTAGGAACACCAGGGCTATCCCTGCCCCCTGAAAACGTTCCCTCAGCCTCCCTCAGCCCCCAAAGCCTGCCTACCCCAACCCAGCCACCTCTCATGATCAGCCTAGACCCTCCCCATCCACGGGGGTCTCGGACGCGGATCGCAGCACTGCAGCATCCGGAATGCAGATTCTCAGGCCCTGCCCAGGCCCGCGAGCCAGACTCTCTGGAGCCCCGCACTCAGTTTTCACAAGGCCCCAGGCGATTCTCAGACACACACAAATTCCAGAAACCCTGATTGAGATCAGGAGGCAGCAGACCATGGCCCCTGGGCCAAATCTGGCCAGCCACGGGTTTTTGTACAGCCTCCAAGCTAAGAACCAGTTATGACATCTTCAAATGGTTGGGAAACAAGAATACTTTATGATTTGTGAAAATGATATGAAATTCCATTTCTGGTGTCCATAAATAAAGCTTAAACTCTACTGGAACACGGCCGCACCCACTTCTTTACTCACTGTTCTCTGGCTGCTTCGTGCTCCAACAGCACAAGAGTGGCAAAGCCTCAGTCATTTAGCATCTGGCTCTTTATAGGGAAAGCTTGCCAGCCCGGCTCTGGAGTACCTGCTCCCCCAGGAAGCAGGCTCTCTGGCCTCAATCTTAAGAGTGATTTCTGACTCTAATCACAATGACATCCCACTTCATGCCCACTATGATGGCTAGAATAAAAAAGACAAATAGTAACAGGTGTTGGGGAGGACGGGGAGAAACTGGAGGCCTCGGACGTCGCTGGTGGGAATGTAAAATAATGCGGCCACTTTGGAAAACAGCCTGGCCGTTCTTCAAACAACTACACACAGAGTTACTATCTGATCCAGCAATTCTATACCTCGGTAAAAACAGGAGAAAACTGAAAACATGTCCACAAAAACACTTGTGGAACAGTAGCATGATTCATAGTAGGCATGATTCATAACCCCAAATGTCCATCACTGAATGAATGGATAAACAAAATGTGGTAGATACAGGCAATGGAATACGATTCAGCCTTAAAAAGGAATGAAATACTGACTCATGCTAAAAATGGATGAACCCTGATAACATTAGGCTGCATGAAAGAAGCCAGTCACTAAAGGCCACATATCTATTGTATGATTCCAATTTACGTGAAATGTCCAGAACGGGCAAGCCACAGACAGAAAGTGGATTGGTGGTTGCCAGCACCTGGGAGGAGGAGGAATGAGGAGGGACCACTAACAGGTAGAGTTACTTTGGTATGGTTTCTGCTGGGGCAATGAAAGTGTTCTGGAAATATACTGGTGATGGTCGCACAACTCTGTGACTACACTAAAAACCATTGAATTGCACACTCAAGTGGGAGAATTAATTCCACGGCATGTAAATATCTGAGTAAAGATGTTGTTTAAAAAGAAAAAAGGGATTTCTGACCTGGAAGAGTGGGAGGATGTCGGCTGGCAGGACTGCGTACTGGGGACCAGAGCTGCTATACCGGGCGACCCCGACCCCAGGAGACAAGCAGAAGCAGGCTGAAGTGGTCAGAGCCTCTACATGGCTCAGGCGTCCCAGTGTGGGATCTATGGGGAGGCTTGTGGAGCAGGGTATACACAGATTGTGGTTGAACCCTCAAGGCCGGTCATGCATAGCCTGAGCTGAGCACCAAGCACACAGTAGGACCCATGGTGGAACTAACACAACAGCGAGGCCTTTGCCAGACAGCTCGAGAAGCACAGTGCTGGACAAGGGTGCTCATGAATGGGGACAGCCTCTCTAACCGGGTGATTCACACACGACTCATGCAGTAAATCTTTCTCCCCGTATAGACAAGCCTTAACAGATGCTTGCTGGAGGTGAGTGCAGTAAAAAAAATAATAAAGCGCCTCTGTTCTTAAAAAAAAAAAAAGGTAAAAATAGCAAGTACTCTTGGGTCCAAAGCCCAGGACAGAACAGACAGGTCACCATGGGCATCCTATACACACAGGGAGCGATTTGGCTCTACTCCCCGGGAATGGCGGCCGTGGGGCTGCATGGGAGCGGCTGAGTTATGTGTCCTCACCACCAGCTCCCCAGGTACTACTGTGGCACGTAGTGCCACACTGCCATGGGCGCTGGGATAAAAGAAACACCAGCCTCAGTTCTGAGCAGCAGAGTGTGGGCAGGGGGGAGGGGAACAGCAGAAAGGGGTACCTGGGCTCAGGGGCACAGTGAGGCCTCACCTAGCTACTCCCGGTTGGGGTGGTGGCACCTGAGCCACAGGGTGGCCCCGGGGAGGCCTGCCCTGGAGGCCCCAGTTAGGCTGCACAGACAGCGCCGTGGGCCCAACACAAGGTGCTCAGAGCCGCCCACAGATGGGAGCTGCCTGAGGGGTCCCCTGGCCAGGCAGGCACTGAACAGCATCTGGGGGCGGCTGGGGTGGGGGCAGCGGGCTCTTCCCTATCCCGGGGGACTCCCAGGACCACAGGGGTGGGCCCCCCTGGAAGGGAAGCCCCCGTCCTCCTCCTGGCTCTAACCAGCCCCATACCTGCGTGGGCTCCCAAGCATGCGGGAGGGAGTCTGTCTTCATCCATCCATCCCTCCAGGGGCAGACCAGAGGCCCCCTTCTGTCTGGGAGCCCTCAGGACGGCCCGTCCACCACCAACTGAGAAGGTTCCACGGGAGCCCAGGAGACAGCCAATCACTAGTGAAGCCCCCAGAAGCTCCCGTCCTCACCCGGAATCTGGCGCAAAGGGCGCAGGAGTTTCTAGGCCAGGTCTTTGCTTAGCTGAACAAATGCTGATCGTGGCACAACATAACATTCAGCAATAAATTTAACTCCATTGTTTAATGTCCAAGCCAGTTTGGCTTATTTACTTAAAAAAAAAAAAACAAGAGGGCAAGAGGGTGGTTAAAACAGCCAATAAAACACAAAGGATTCAGGGAAGTTCGCTGGATCGAGTTCGACTTTTCATTTGTTTGTTTTGACTTAAACTTTTTGGGACTTCTCCACATTTCCGAGCACCCTGGACATTCGGCAGAAGCAAAGGCAGGAAAGGACCACAGCCTTTTCACCAGGGCCCGGCATGCAATTGCTCCCTCTTGATTGCAACACCCCCTCCCTTCCAAGAAGAATCGCACCCAAGAGAATTACGGAAAATCTTCCCCGTGCGGGCTGACCCTGAAGCACCTGCCCTCGTATCCTGTTGGCACCAACGCCAGGCTGTTTCTGGGACGTTCTGTGCTCCCGGGGTTCCTCCTGGGTTCAGGTAATTTCAGAAGAGGCGACATGGCGACGTCTCCAAGAACCGAGAGGCTTTGTTCTCCCGCTCTGCACGGTGTGGGGATCACGGGCCAACGCAGCCCGAGCTCAGGAGCTCACCTGACAACTCGAGGGCTTTCCGAGGGTAGTGACCTTCACATACCCTTGAGCCAGCAACTCTGCTTCAAGGAGTCCATGCACAGAAATCCTCGGGTCCTCGTGCACTGAGACACCCACACAAGCTGCCCCAGGCACTGGTTTTAATAGAGAAATCAGGATCCACCCACTTGTGCACCAGCAGCATGAACATGTGGGGCCCTCCCCACGGCCCGCGGTGTCACCTCAGTAGACAGCGGGGGGCATGAGCTGGCACATCACTCAGAGGACAGCACAGCCCTAGAGTAGGAACTGGGATCACTGTCCTTGTTTTACGGAGGAGGAAATTGATGCACCGAGAGGTTATGCCACAGGCCCCAGGTCACCCAGCTCCAAAGCAGCCAAGTGGAGATTCAGAGGCAGCAGGCCAGACCGCGGCCCCCGCCCTCCCATGCTGGGCAGCCCTCTGGTTCCATTTCCCCACCTGTCACATAAGGGGTGGGACCCCAGATGTCTACAGGGCCGTTTCTCATGCCCACACTCAGCTCTATGATGACGCTGAGGTCAACACCTTACCTGTGTGGTTTGAGAACTGGACAGAGTTCACCGCGTCGATCTCAAACCCCAAAACCTGCAAGACACACAGAGAAGGACCAGGTCTGAGAGAGCCGGGCGGCCCGCTGCCCCACAGCAGGTGCCCGATGACCGACGGCCTGGGGCCAGGCTGAAGGAGGGGAGTGGACTGAGGCCGGGCGAGTGCAGGTCCCCGGCACAGGCTGGAGGGTCTCCGACGTGGGGAACAGGAGGGTCTCCCCGAGTTGGGCCAGGTATTTGTACTCTCAGTGCTGTACATGTCTGCTGATGAGCTTGTTCACTCCTTTATTTAGGAAATATGTTGGGAAGCAACCAGCCCAAAGGGCAGAAACTCAGAGGCCACGGCCCTCCTGCTGGAACTCAATGAAGCACTTTCAATCCCTCTGGAATCCCACCAAACGAAAGTGCTCAAAGAAACCCACGAGCCGTCCATTGGTCAGGGTGCTGAAGGGCGGTATGAGGTTTCAAGCCCCCACTCGGACGAGGAGGGAAGGCCAAGGGCTCCCCCACTCGGGGACACAACTGACCGCTCCCTCCCCAGGAGCCTGGCTGGCAGCCCCTCTGTCATCACATGTCAGCTGGGGAAAAAGAAGGCACCCAGCCTGGGTGCATACAGAGCATACAGAGCAGGCGACGGCGAAAAGCTAAAGCCATCACTGAGCGAAGAGCTGATGGACGAAGGTGGGAGCTCTTCCTTTAATGACAGGGAAGAAATGGCCCGGACGGCTCAGAAGCCAATGCTGACAGGTGTTCGTGGTGAGAGGGCGAGAACCAGAGAGAGCCTTCCTGGTGCTCATCTTTACTCTTCTGACTGTCCACGCTCATTCAGTATTGATTCTCTCAGACGCTATGACATAGAGGACACTGCAGATCCCTCGGGGGGACAAGGCACACTCTCTGTGGGGGCCCCCGCACCCAATGGCTGTCAGAGGGGGCAGACATCAGGACACTTCTCAGCCCATCTCTTGGCCTTTATGTGCCACCCTTACCCTGGGTCCCTGCCAGGCCCCACAGGCTTCTTCCACCTGCCTCTTCCAGGCTGGCCCCCACTGACATTGTTGCAGGCGGACCCAGGACGATGGCCCTGCTGTGTGGTTCCCTCCCTGCCTCTCAGAGTGTGCACTGCATCGCTCCGCAGAGCCAGCCATCTCAACTGCTGGAGGACCACCACCCAGTGCCGCACAAAGGCCTCAGGTGCAGGGCCCTGTGCTTGGGGATGAAGCCATGAGCCATCACCCACCAGGACGCGAGGCCCAAACACCCAGGAGCAAATCAATCCAGCGTGAGCCGTGTACCAGGGCCCGGCCAGGTCCTCCAGACCTGTGGGCACCAGGCAGCCACCCCCGAGAGCAAAGGGAGTGGCCTCGGGGCCATCAGCACAGGAGGGACATCACTCAGGCCCTCCTTTCGCATCCCCCACCCCTACATGAACGACGTCACCAGGGGAGGTTGGGGGCTCATATATGGACCCGTCCACCATTTGCCCTTTGGACACTCGAGTGCAAACAAGCTCTCAGCCGGCCCCGACTTTGAAGCCACATGAAACCACGTCATGACAGACAGGTGTTTAAATTGGGCTCCATGTGTGTTGACAGCTGAGCTGTCCTGCCGGCCCCCACCACCGGGACAAGGTCATCATCTTTCCTTTCGGAGGCTCTGGCTTTGCCCACAGCTGGGACGTGGGACTAAACTGGGAGTGCTGTCCCCCCACAAGGCCAGACCACGAAAACCACATCATCCGCCAGGATCAGCGTGAACAGGACCAACCATGCCTGGAAATCCGGGACGCAGCTCGCTGAGTCCCGGGACCTCTGCCTCCCCATCTCTGTCTGCTCCATGCCACCCAGGCCACCAGCAGGGCCTCTCAGAGCTACCCCCCACCTCCCAACACCCTTCCTGAGGGAAGCACACCCCTTGCTGGCCGCTCCATCCCGGCAGCTCCCTGGGGCGCACACGGGGCCCACCTGCCGCCTGCCTGCACCAGGCTGCCTGGAAGGGTCCTCCACCTTCTCCCCAACTCTCCCAGCTCCATCACCCCCACTCCACTTCCAAGGCCCCACTGCATCCGTGCTGCGGGTCAGTCGCCGCTGCCCTCTGTGACGGTCGGGGCTCCAGGAGGGCAGGACCTGTTCTTTCGGACACGTGGGGACAGAGCAGGGCTTACTGAGTATTCGCTGATTTGATACACACACCACACGTATTTCCCATGTCTGTGTCTGCCATCCTCGTCCCCTGCTCTAGGCCCTAGCCCCCCACAGGGGGTGCCCAGTCTCCCCTCCATTCCCTCCCAGCCAGCCGGGTCTCAGCCGGGCGCCCCTGGGACGTCCACTTCCACAGCTGAGGCCACCAAGGGCCACCACAGACCTCGGCCCCGCCCGGGGTGTGGGGATCGGGGTCACGGCTAGAGCTCAACTGATGATGACGGAGAACGGACTGGCCGGGGACTGCGGAGAAAGAGGCCAAGGGGCGCTGAGGGGCTCAACGATCAACAGCCAGGACTTCCAGTTAACGTGGCCGCTGCCCTTGAGACCCTCGCCCTCCCCCAAACCCCAGGAAAAGGAGGACAAAGGACCTTTTTATAATCCTGGTCCACAGAGACAAGGCAGGGAGGGGGCAGACGGTGGGTGAGAGGTTTCAACAAACTCAGTTTGTGCGTATATGAGAGAGAGGCAGAGAGACAGGGAGTCAGAACCAAGGGGAGAAGCTGGTCCCAGGGCCCTCCCCTCCGCCATCTTGCCCTGGCCGTCCCTGCCTTCTCCTCTGTGTCAACTCACCACCCTCTTTTCCCCTTCATCTGACACCACCAACCAACCTTCAAGCCTCCTCGCCAGGTTCAAAAACAGGCAAAGCTCTGGCGTGGGCAACGAGGAGAGCGGGGAGGCGGGGGCGTGACTGGGAGCTGGCTTCTGGGAGCTGCACAGTCTCTTCTTCACGTGGGTGGTGGGGACATGGAGTGCTCACTTTGTGAAATCGCTAAGCTATACATTTATGACTTGTATTTAACAAGTTTTCTTAAAAATTTTAGGCCGGTATTATCAGGACTTAAAATAATAAAACAAAAGTCAACAGTCTTTTTAACTAAGAAGTTAAGATGGGCACTTTGCAAATTGACTTGCCAGATTTCACGGCCTCCTATACACGGATATAGTCTGCAGTATTTCAAATGCTTTACAATTCTAATCAATTCTGAGGAAATAGATTGGAAGCAATGATGACACAAATCCCGAAAATCCTGCCAAAATATCCTGCTCCACTGCTTCTGGATGTGCAGATAATTAATCCTTTGGAGCTGGCAAATTGGAAGTCGCTATTTTCCGCTTTTAAAAGACAGAGAGAGCTAAGCCGCCAGGCTGGCATCTCCATTTCAAATACCAGCAGCGACATCAGCTTACTAGTCAGTGTCCCATGCTAGTGTGAGTGCACCTCTCAAACGGCAGGTGCGGGGCTGAGCGAGACTCAGAGAAAGACCACGTAGAGGGGCCGAGCTCCACCACGGAGCCCTCAGACCCCAGAGGAAGGAGAGTCCTGTGGTTTAAATCTAGTCTGCAGCTCAAACGCGCCCTGTGATGCTGGGGCTGCGACCCTGGAAATCACATCCCTGCTCAGCCAGTGGCTCCCAACGGCATTTGCAACAGGGAGGGAGAGAGACACTGGGAGAAGAGAAGGGTCCTGCCCCTTCCAGGTGGCTTTATCCCAGCGCTCTGCTCCTGCGCAGTGATGGGCTTCCTCTAGCAGCAGCTAAATCCACTTCTTGGATTTCCCATCGCTGGCAGAATGCCTCATCACCGCCCTCCCCCCCCCCCCCCCCCCGCCCACGGATCCCCTCCTCCCAGAGCTCCTAACGACCACAATCTCTTCTCTCTGATCCCGTGGTATCAGCTGCCGGCAGGTGCCTCCTCCACTAAATTTTCACGTTCCCTTTTTTTCCCTTTTCTGTTCTTCCAATATCTGCCTTAACAGCTGTCTCTATTAAATTCTCTGTGAAAATAATCACTCTGGTTTCTGTTTCTGGACTGGCCCTGCCTGACACACCTCATCTTCCCCCACCCACAGGGGACCCGGACACAGACTGATCCTCGGCCAGGGGTCAGCGCTGTGTCCTGGCCACCCACACACCGTGAGCAGCCGGGTTCTCCCCAACGGTTGCCTGCCCGGCGTGCGGGCAGATCAAGTTCTTGTAACCTCGGCAGCCATCACGCGAATCACATCATGTGGCAACAGACCAGGGTGCCCCGTGGACCCTCCTGCCTGTCAAGACCACCCCATATGGGCCAATTTGTGGGAGAGCACTGCTGGTCTAAGTATTCTCACGGGTGAGAACCACACAGTTTTACAGTAAACCTTGGAGCTCAATGGCCTGTGGGCTCCTGCAAATTCTCAGAATTCTAAGAATGGTCCCGGTGGCCCTGGCTCACCCTTGCACAACCCCACGGGAGTGTGGGCGGAACCTCTAAATCTGACAGTCTCTCCCGTGATTCTGTCCTGTGGCAAACCAGAGATTAGCTAAGCGAGTCTGGTCCAACAACACGAACCCTTTAGACGCAGAGTCGTCTCCAGCTGACGGGCAGAAGAGGACATCGGAGCGATGCGAATGAGAGGAGGACCAATACACCGTCGCAGGCTTTGAGGATGCAGGCCACATGGTGAGCAATGCAATTTGCAAGTGAGTTTTACACACAGCCATTACTAAGAACTGAGTCATGAAACCACACATATAAATTACATCTTAAGCAAACATAAGAAATAGCCGAGCCCCACCACCCCCTAATTAGTCCGCTGTATTTCACCATTAGCCAGGCTCCTGAGCCTTCCGCGTCCGTTGGATTGGCATGGCAGGATTCTACCCAATGGAGGCCATGGGGCATCTCTTCCAACCCCAGCCAGCACTTTACCGTCAGCCGGGTGGATGTACTCACACCACAGGAACTGGCCCTCCCCCACCCCGAGACAGTTTTTTAACATTCACCAGCACACGGCAAAAACATCCAGACAAGACTTGTTTTAAGAAAAAAGAGGAAGAACTGACTAATCCAGACCAGGGAGGATGGGGGAAGGAGGCCTTGAGAGGCAGGGACGGACCCCACCTCCACCAACCCCTGCTGCCCCGGGCGAGTGGCTCCCCCTCCCAGCACTGCCCTGGCTGACCCTGGTGGTGCCTGCCCTCCGCCTCCAGCTTCCCCACCCCACCCCAGTCAGGGGCCCGGGGAAGCGTCTCCGTGCCCCATCTCTGCAAGGACAGCCTGCAGGCCTGGCTCAGGATCCTCACTCCCATTCCTGTGAGTCTGAATGGTCTCCCCGCCACCATTCTCCTTGCCCCTTCCCCCGACCCCCTGGTGTATCCCGCTAAACCCCAACCTTCAAGGGCTTGCCACTGCCCATGGGAGGAAGCCCAGACCCCCATTCTGTGAGTCCCTCCCAAGCGCCTCTGAATGAAGGCTGGCAGTGGCCAAAGCCCCAGCTTCGGGCTCCACCACCAAACCCACTCCCACTTCAGAAAGGGCTGGGAGTCTCGGCGGAGAGGGCCCGCGACAGAGCAAGCTCCTGCTCCCCCGAGTACGTGCCGCCACCCCCTCCGGCTGCTGAGGAAGACCTGCCACACGAGACCACGCAAGCACAGCTGACGCCGAGCAGCCAGGGCTCTCATAGCTGAGAGGGGCCACAGAGACTCCCAGCCAGCCAAAACCGGAGGCATTTCTGGAGAGGTCTTAGCATCGGATATGCTGCCTGTCACCCCTAATCAATGTCTGGCATGTGGCAAGGCCCCCCACCTGCTGTTGGAGGAGAAGTGTGGACAGGCGCACGGCACACAGGGAGAAGCCAGTCTCCCGCCAAGGGAGGAGTCCGAACACACGGCCTGAGTCCCAGGCTGGCGGGATGGCTCGGAACTGGCTCCAGCTTCCGAGCCCTGCCAACGCGCGGGGGAAACACGGCAACCGTCAGCGCAGACTGCACCCGGGAGAGCACTGTCAAACGTCCCGGAGTCGTGCAGACACAAAGAGCAGTGATGGCCAGGACACAAGGAGGTGATCAACCTCTCCACTTCTACACGCCACGGTAGCCAGAGGCTGTCAACGCGGGCTCCCGTCCTCTGCCCCAGTGCAGACCTCAGGCTGCCCTCCTGGGCAAAGTGTCCCTCCTCGAGGGCGGCTACATGTGCCAGGGGGCCTGAAGCCATGCTCCGGTCCCTCAGCCTTGGGTGGTGACGCATGCTCCCCGCAGCCAGACGGCCGCCTCACAGCTGCACTGCCAGCCCACTCTGCTGGCAGTGAGGTTAACTCGGCAGCCAGGCGATCTGCCCTCACTGGGGAGGCAGGGTGCTCAGAACAGCAGGAGTGGGGAAGCTCTGGAATATTCCAAGGCAGGGCCCCACCTGCCCAGACCACCCTTGGGAGAGTGGTTAGTGCCGGGCAGGGACAAGGGTCACAGTCATTAAGATCCTCGCGGTGGCTTGTCTTGGCGGTGGCTTGTTTTGCAAGACGTTAGCCACTTTCATAGGAAATTGGAATTAGAAAAGAGGGAACACGTGTCATGTGACTGCTGTCATCTAGATCAGCCTGGGGGGTCCATGTCCCTTCTACCAGTTACCGGTCAGCCTACAATTCTGCTCAATCCTCCTCCAGCATCCTCTCATCTCTCACAGGAACTTCTGCTGGAAACAGCCCTCAGCCCCGCAGAGACGGCTGTCCCCAACATGTCACACGGCCTGTCTGCCCTTGACTGGCAGCCCCCTCTCCATGCAGGGGGCGGTGAGGAGGGGATGGGGTCACGGGTCTGCCCTCACCCTCCCTGCGCTCTGCAAACACTGGATCATTCTGCCCCATGCTCTATCTCCTCTGTTGCTGGTCACAATAACACGTTCCCCTCAGCCACTAAAAGGTACTTTAGACTCCAGCCCGGAAAGAAATCCAGAAACAAGGTCAAGGTTCTGCTCTTTCCTCTGCTGTACAGCATTCTTCTCTTCCCCGGGAAGGCGGCTGCCCCGGGCTGCCGGCCTGACACCGCGAGCGAGCGGTGTGCTTTGGGGACCTGGCCAAAAGCAGTTTGGGAACCACGGCCCTGAAGCCCAGAGCCGCAGGCGTCCAGCCAGCACAAATCAGTGTCACGCTCATCGCGAAGCAGCTGTGCTGGCACCGTGGGCGGAGCTCCGTCCAGGCAGCACCCTGGGAGCCCGCACTCCTGACTGCCAAGGGGACTGCTCTCACTCTGCCGAGGAGGCTGAAAAAGGCTCAGAAGGCAGGGCCAGGCCTCTGAGCCAGAACTCCCAGATGAGGGGCCGCGGGGTCAGTCCCCACAGGTGGCCTCTCTGGCACCCCTCACATGCATTTTCCAGTCTCTGAGTAGCAGGAGGGCAGATCTGGGGGGCCCAGACAGAGCCCACCTCCTCCCGCCATTTCTAAGTTCTCTTCCCACAGCCAGCTGTGTGAACAGGCGTACCTTTGGAGTCTCGAGCTATAGGGTGACCATCAAAACTCAGAATATAATCCCCTAAGCACGGCTCTGGGTGTCCAGGCATGGAAACCCGGCTGCAATTGGCAAGTGCGGGACTCCAAGGCCATTTCCAGGCTCTGCCCACCCCAGCCCACGCCGCACTTGGTGAGGTTGCTGCAAGCCGGTCAGCAGGCCACCCCCACCCATCTCCCAGCTCCTCCCCACTGCAGTGGGGCTTAGACGTGGGGGTGGGGGAGCAAAATGCCCGCGTGGGACCCTGGGGAGCATCCTGCAGCGCTAACAGACTGATCCCACAAGAGCCGAGCAGCCGGGGCCAAAGGAAGCAGGTGCAGACTGACAAGGAACCCAGACTTGGGTCAAGGAAGCGCTCAGGGGTTAAGGGCAGAAAGTGTCCTCTGGACTAAGAAGCGTCTGGAAACTGCTCTTGTGATGGGCTGAACTGTGTCCCCTCCAAATTCCTCTGTTGAAGCCCCAATCCCTGGAGCCTTGGAATGTGGCAGTATTCGGAGAAACGGTCTTTAAAGAGGGGATTAAGGTAAAAGGTAAAATGAGGTCACTAGGGTGGGCTGTAACCCAATCTGACTGGTCATCTAATAAGAGGAAGAGATCAGGACACAGACACACACAGAGGGACAGGGACGCCGTCTACAAGGAGAGAGGCCTCGGGAGGAACCAGCCCTGCTGACCCTTGGATTGTGGACTTCCAGCCTCCAGACTGCAAGACAATGACCTTCTATTGTTGAGCCGCCTGCTTCGTGGCACTTTGTCAGGGCCACCCGAAGACACCAGCAGAGGCCTGTTTGAGGCCCGGCTGCGGGGGAGCGTGGTCTCAGCACCACCAGCCCTGCACCTCCCCCTCTCTTCTGCTCTCCCCATCCCTCAAGACCACATCTTATTACTGTAATTAAGAGGAGGGGGAGGTCATTAGGGCAAAGGACGCAGGGAAGGAAGCCAAGACCCAACCCACACCCACTCCTGACAGCAGTCCCAGCCTCTACGAGGCGCCCCAGGCACATGTGGGTGCCACCTAGCACCCTTTCCTGCCTGGTCCTTCTGCATGCTGGGAGGTGAGCAAGGCACCCCCGGCCCACCTCATGCAGCAGCCGGCACCTCCAAGAGACTGCTCACTCCCCATCTCCCCCGGTCCTAAAACAGCCTGTGAGGCAGGTCTCACACCCATTCCACAGAGGAGGCGCCACAGGGCTCCAGGCAGCAGGTGGCCTCTTCAAGGTCACGACCCTAGTGAACAGGCCCTGCCTTCCGTGACACCCGCCTGCCATGTTCCTCCTGGGCCTCACAAACGTCGAGAGGAGCAAAATGCAGGGCGATTAAATCAGAGACAGAGGGGTCACTCCTGCCCCAGGGATGACAGGAGGGAGGAGATGACACACTTCTCCACCCCCCCAGCCTGTGGCCGTCAAGCCCACAGGGAAGGATGCTGGGCACTGGGGAGACCCCAGGTAAGAATAACAGCTTGGTCCTTAAGAGGCACTTACTTCCCCAGGTGGCAATCTGGAGGAGTCCCCTCCCCCGGAGTAGGTGTGGAAGTTAAGAGCGTGTGCCCGGAAATTCAGGAACAAGGGACACCACTGCAGGACCCGGGAAGAGCTGAGCAAGGGACAGTTTGCCCCGTGGAAAAGGAAAAGGGCACGACAACAGGTGGATGGGGAGGAGGACAGGGCAGAGGGCATGGAGAAGCCAGCAGGGGCCCGTGCACCTCTGCCAGGGGCGGGTCCCACGGCACCCTGGCGAACGCCGTGCTGGGATGCTCCTGTCGCTGGGCAGGGAGCTGAAGCTGTTCTCAGAGCCCAGCCTGGTCCCATCCTCCCAGGCTGCCCTACACCTTCCCCCGCAAGCACAGTTCCCCCCAGTGGCCCTGCCTGCACAACCCACCTAAGTGCCAAGTCTCCCCTCCCCGAGGGGCTAGGGGCGGGCAGTCCATCCAGAGCAGCGGCCAAGAGCGGGGGCTGGGGGACAATCCCAGGCTAGCACCCTGACCACTCTGGGGAGTCAGCTCCCCACTGGCTGGAGTGAGAGGGGCAAGGACAGGACTGTGCACTAAGCACCGCACACTTCTCAATGGTGCTTGCCGATGAGTGGCGGCCGCCCTGCTTTGGACTGAACCCTGCTACCTCTCCACCTGCAAGTCTTTGCTCCACTATTTCCCCCTTGGCGCCGGGCATCGCAGCCTCAGGTCAGCCCTCAAACTCTACTGGGAGGCAGTTCCAACCCGTCCTACAGTCCTTCCAGCCAGCCTGCACTCCGCAGGTGTTAGTGACCCATGGTCTTTTATGTCCTGCAGGGCCCAGCAAAGGACTAAGCATGCACAGCAGGGGACATGGGACCTGCCGAGACCTGTTCCTAGCCCGGGGTCAGGCCCCGAAACACCAGCCAAAGGTGAACAGTACAGGAGAGTCATCACCTTGTGCAGACAGGCCAACAAGGCAAGGAAGTGCTGGTCACCCCAGCGTTGCCTCTGGCCCAGCACGACACCCCGCCACACCCAGGCCTCCTCCTGTGCCTTCAAGGGCCACGCAGCCATAACCCTGGGGCTGCAACAGGAAGGACTGGGCGCCGGTCAGTGAGCCACAATGAGATGGGGTGAGCGCCCAACCAGGACAGACACACGAGGCAGAGGCGGAGCGAGGGGAGCTGGTGGGGATGGCCAGTAAGGAAAGCCTAACACATTTAGAAGGCGGCTTCTAAAGTCAAACCCTGCATGGGACTGAACTGGTTTCTGGGATTTTCTTCTTCAGAGCTAACATCTGCAGGCAGGCCTCGTCTGCCCCATCCCCGTCCCGGGGGACCACCTCCCGGAAGGTCAGCCGCTCGCCCGGGGGCTTCACTATCCATGAGCTTACTCCTCCCTCCCACAGGGGGCAGGGACAGAATCCGGGGCGCCCGGCAGGTGAGCACTGCAGGCACCTGCCTATCCTCTTTCCTCCTCCGCTCCGGGGACCCCCGCTCGCGTGACGCCCCGGCCGCTGCGACGCATTTTCTCGCCTCCAGGGAGCCCCCGCCCGCAGCTGGCCGGGCCGGAGGGAAGGGGCGGAGGCTGGCGAGCGCGCACAGCTCGTGCGCGGGGGCTCCAGCCTAACTAATCGCTCCCGCCCCCCATTCCCTCCCACCCTCAGGGGCCCACCGAGTGTGCCCCCCGCCCCCGCAAAGCACCCGCCTCCGGAGCCCGCATCGGGCACCCCGCACTCCAGACTAGGACCTGCGGCTGCCTCGGTGGCCCGGCCAAGGTCACTCGGCCCGGCTGCGGCTACCCCGCAGCGGGCCCGCACTGCCGGGCGCGGGGACACCAGCCGGGTTACGTAAGGCCGGCCAGGCCGGGCCGGGGTGGAGCGTACCTGCAGCGGGAACGTGGCCGCCCGGTTGCCCACGTAGCCGCGGACGACGTGGCTCTGGATGGAGAGCACCCGGCACTCCTCCTCCATGCCGGGCCTGCCGCGGCGGCGCGGGGCCGGGCGGGCGTCAGCGTCTCCGCCGCTGGCGGGGGCTCCGGCTCCGCTCGCGCTGCCCTCCGCTGCGCTCCGCTCCGCTCCGGCCGCCCCGCTCGGCCCCGCTCGGCGCAGGCGCTCGGCTCGGACGCCAGGCCGCCTCCCTCTGACCTCAGCGCCGCTGGGAACCCGCGGGTCCCGCGCTGCGCGGGGGGCGGGCCGGGGGCGGGCCATCGCGCAGGCCCGCCCACCCCGCTCCTCCCCGGGGACGGAGAAAATCGAAACCGCGCTCCCCTGGGCCGCGGCGACCACGTCACTCTGCGCTCCTGGCACGTGGGTGGGGCAGCCACCCTCCAAAAGCCGGGTTTGCGCTTTTAATTTTTCCCACTAAGGGCACTGTTGCGTCGTTCATTCATTCATTGAGTCATTGATCCATTCATTCATTCTACAGAGGTCCGCGCGCCCTGGCCCTGCGCCTCCTTTCTGACGTCCGGGCCCCATATTCCCGGGCGCAGGCGGACCGTGACCCCGTCCGACCGGGACAGTCATGGAGGAAACGCGCGGGAGAGGGCGCAGAACTTGGAGACTGCGGAGGCGCAGCGCGGGGAAATGACCGGGACCGCCTCCCCACCGGCCGCGGCGCCCGCAGTGCCAGGTCTCCCCTCCAGGGGCGTCAGGGCCGCCGAACGCCCTACAGGGCCCGGATCCTGCATCCGATCCAAACTCACCCCTCCGGCCACTGCGCGGACAGGCGCAGGGACGCGGGAGCCCCGGGCCCGCCCCGCAGGACCAAGGACCCAGGCTCGCCCTGCCCGCCCTGGCGCGCCCACCGAGGGGACGCGGAGCTGACGATCGCGGGGCCACGAGGGGACTTGCCCTACCCCGCAGATGTCTGGGGGGCGGACATCTCCCCGGCACCATGAAACCTTTGGAGACCCCAGCCTCCCAACCCCAGCCACGTGGCCAGCCCTCCCTTCTCAGGTGCCCCGGGCTGGGCCACGTGGCCCGTGACCACCCCACCACCTCGCCGGGGGCCTGTGAGGAGGAACCCAATGCCCCGAAGTCACAACCCCCAGCCCCTCACCCCGCCTTTCCCTCCCACCCCACACCCCCAACCTCTGAGGCGCCCCCTGCGGCTTCCCCTTGCTACCCCCCGGGTCTCAGACCTCCAGACATGGTGATTTGGGTCTCTTCTGGTGACCCAAGGCAGCGTGTTTAACCTCCTCTAAGCCTGGTGAGAAGGTCGAGGCAGTGACCCAGCAGGTGACAGGATAAGGAGGAGGGAAGGCATGTCCTCAGCCATCCAGATTTTAAAGAGGAGGAATGTCCTAATGAATAATAATTAGTTGTTAGGTAATCACACCTAACATTTATTGAGTGCTTACTATGTGCTGAGCTCCTTTCCCGCATTAACACACTTAATCTTCACCAGTATTCTATACGGCCCGGTTTCATCCCATTTTTACAGATGAGGAAACTGAGCAAGAGAAACCAGAAGTTGCAGGCTGAGTGGCACACGCTGCTGGGTGAGAGGCGGGAATCCGCAGGGCCGGCAGCTCTGGCCACTGCACTCACTGCCCTTTTCTCCTTCCTGCTCTGTGAGGTCACCCGCCCGTGGCTCTAGGATGGCCTGCTGAATCCTTCCCTGTCAGCAGCTGACCTCACCCCTCCCCACCTGATCTGTCACCTCCTGTCCCTCCCTCTCCCTGGGCAAACCTCCCCCATTCTCCATCCCACCCCTCACAGCTTCAGCCAGGGGATTCCCAGGCACCAAGAGGGAAAGGGGCTCGGGGACCCTGCTCCTCGACAGAGGGCCCGGGGAATGATGTTTTGGTGAATTCACTTTTCCTTCGGCTTTTGAAAGGTCTAGGTTCCTCATTCCCAGAGCCCATGGTTCCCGAACTGGTCACCTGAGAGTCACCTGGGTCTCTAGTCACCCTGGTCAGCTAGCCAAGGCCCAGCCCTGTCCGCCTGCTGGAGGCTGGCCCCCAGGGCGCTCTGTCAGCTCTCCAGGGGCTTCTGGGACCACTCAAGCTTGAGAGGCACTGTTTAGGCAGCTGAGTTAATTTGGTGTTTTTGTGAACACTGTCAGTTGCCACTAGTTACCAGTCCACGGACAAACCTCTTTCCTTAATGACTCAGGCAGTGAAGACCTTCCAGAAACTGCTAGTCTATGGAAAAGACACTCCCAGGTCTGGCCAGCCGGGTCATGGGTGGGCTGCTTCACCTCTGTGTCCAGGTGGGGGGCAGAGCCCCTCAGGAACCCTCCCACCCACTCGCATGTCCCCGCAGGCCTGTGGACAGCCTTTCCTGGGAGAGGGCACTGTCCCTAATGTGCGGCACATGCCCTGAGGGGGCGCCCTCAGCTGGTTAGGACGAGGTGGCCAACTGACGGATCCCTGGGGGAGATTATGGCTGCACAGGCAAGTGGGTGGGGTCTGGTGGGGGGGGGACCGTTCGAGAAAGTCATTCACCAAGAAAGAAGAGAGGTAACTGAGAGAATTCTCTGTGCTCTGAGCTCATCTTCCATGACAGCACGTGAGTGACCGCTCTCTGAGTTGCTGGAGGTGGTGTGGTGTGTCCACGAGGACTCTGGGCCTTGGAAAATGACCATGATTTTGGTGACCTTGTGTCAGCGCTCAGTAATTTTTTTGAAAAAGCTTTCCATTTGGACATAGTGATGTATTGTGTGTAATTGTGTGTGTATTGTGTGTCAATGTGTGTAAATACATTTTCTTCTACACCCTGGCGGCGTTTGAAATGCCCTCACCGGGAGACCACACCCAGAGAGAGTTAGGACAACAGCTGCCGAGCTCCAGAGGCTCCTGTGTGAGGGGTGTTAGGAGTAATTTTTCTCTAACGAAATGAGGGGTATGTAGGATCTGTGGTTGGTCAGAAGTCTGGACAGGCATCTGCGCCCTGCCAACCTGGGGAGCCCAGCAGCCTAACACCCTCAGAGCAGCACCCTGGGTCCGGAACCTCACTTAGGCCTGTGTCCCCCCACTTCAGGGGGGTGCCTCGACCTGACCTGAGAAAAGGCTGGCTGATCCTACTCTCAGAGCGGTGTCACCTTCGACTCAGGGTGAACCTTGTGTATAAGCTTCCTCTTATGGGTTGCATTGTTCCCCAAAATCCATATGTTGGAGTCTTAAGCCCCAGTAGCTCAGAATGTGACCTTATTTGGAGATAGGGCCTTTGCAGATGTAATCAATCGAAAGTGAGGTCTTTAGGATGGGCCCTCATGCAAACTGGTGTCCTCATACCCAGGGGAAGACGCTGTGAGGAGATCCAGGGGGAAGACTGCCATCTACAAGCCCAGGTCAGAGGCCCTCAGAAGGAACCAGCCCTGCCCACACCTTGCTTTGGGGCTTCTGCCTCCAGAACTGAGAATAAGTTTTTGTGGGTTAAGCCGCCCCATCTGTGGCACTCTGTCCCACCTGACTAATACACTGCCTGTCCAAATGCCTAAAACGACGGCATGCCGGGCCATTTTGGGGTCTGCTGGCTGACATGCTGCACACGTGTCAGAGTCCTGGCTTCACCCTCTTGCACCACCTGGTAGGTATCAAGCTTGCCCCTAATGATCCGAGGGACTGGCATTGACCCCAAAGAACCTGACAACCGTGACAGGACAAACTGGCTGGGCTCAGCTCACGACATCATGTGTCCCAGATTTTCTGAGCCCCTCCCAGTTTCAAATGTTCTGTCCCACTAGCAGACCGTGAATACTGATTTTAGGGTCAGAAAAAGCAATCGCTGTCTCAGGTTTCTCCTGGCCAGAGTGCTGTCTCTGACCTTGGCAACAAAGGACACGGGGCTCAGTGACTTAAACACGGTTGTGGACTGAATGCTTGCCTCCCCCAAATCCACATGTTGAAGTCCTACCCTTCTAACTGGTGGTATTTGGAGGGGGGGGGCCTTTGGGAGGTGGTTAAGGTTAAATGAGGTCATGAGGGGGAGCCCTGATCTGCCAGGATGGGTGTCTGTAGCACAAGAAACATCAGCGAGCTCACTCTTTCTGTGTGCAAACACTGAGGAAAGGCCCCGTGAGCACAGAGCCAGAAGCCAGCCGTCTACCAGTCCGGAAGAGGGCTCTCACGGAAGTGAATCCGTTGCGCCTTGATCTTGGACTTCCAGCTTCCAGAACTGTGAGAAAATAAATGTTTGTTATTTAAACTGCCCAGTCTGTGGGATTTTGTCACGGTAGCCAGAGAGGACTAAGGCAGTCACTAAAAACATCCTTTTGCCTTACAGACCGTGCATTTCTTTGACGCCCTGCCACTATTTTCAGACCACACCTCCTCATAGACTAGAACACATTCCAGAAGGCCGCTCCCTGCCGTGCTGGGTGGGTTTCGTTTTATTTGGCTGAGAGGTGGTAGCTGAGCGTTTAAAAACATAGGTTTTGTTATTATCCAGGTATAGTGAGGTCAACAGATCAGAGACAACTGCCATTGAAAAGATAGCATGTCACGCACAGCTCCCAAGAGATGCGGGCTTGCCATGCCACGCAGGGCCTGGTGGGGAAGCACCAGGCAGGTCAGGAAGCAGAGGGGGTGAGGGGAAAGCATGGGCAAGAGCCTTTATTGTCGTTCCCACGAGAAAGGCAAGGCTACGCAGGTAAGCAGGATGAATGCTGACTAGTCTGAATAATCTTGGCAGGCTCCAGGGCAGGGTCCGTCTCTGGTTGCCTGGTCCCTGGCCCTGTGGTGATTACGGCTGAGGGGTAGTGCCCCCCACAGTGTAAGAGCTGATAAAAGAACGATTTGGAATGGGGGCTCCGGATTGTTAGTTTACTCGTGAAAGTCACGTTTGTTCTTTCTAAGAAGTGGCAAACCTTGGGAAAGGTTCCAGTTGCCAGAGTATCAAGAATACAGAAAATAGGAAAATGCATTTAATACCCTGGGTGAGCTCTGGACCCTGGAGCCACACTGCCCAGGTTCGATTCCAGATCCTCCGATGGCCCTGTCAGCTTGTGACAAGTTCCGTCAACTCTTGGACTCAGTTTCCCCATTTCCTCAAATGGAGAAGTGATAATAATATCTACGCTGAAGCGATGTTGAGGGGGTCCAGCAGACTGCCCCACGTGGAGATGGGGAACCGGGCCTGGCACGAGCGAGTGCTCAGTAAAGTTTCCTTTTCATTATTTATCCTGGATTCTGCTGGGCCCGGTGGAACAGAAGCTGATGGAAAATTCCACTTTCTCCCATAACTGATGGATGCCAAGCCACCATTTTTATGGGGTGAAGAATCTAGCTTGAAATCCTTCCATTCTTCAGAAGTGGCTCCATCCTTTTGGGGATAGGGTTTTGGATGTTTCTCAGTTCCAGAATGTCTTTATTTAGAGGCAACAACTGAACCCAAAGCCTGGATTACAGGTTTGTTTGTATGTTTATGAGTGGATTATCTTTTTTGCTTTCCTCTTGGGAATAGCCAAGATGTCTTGAACCTTTAAAGCTGTTTGGGCCAGTGTCTTCAGGAACACTGGAGAGCTCTCTGGATTCTTTCCTGACCTGTCTGGGTGTAGTAGTTTGACTTGAATCCTCCAGCACTCTTGTCTGGTTAAAGCTCACCTTGCAGTCTTCAGGTCAGCGAGCTGGCCCCTATGACAACGTCCCCAGCTCTCCTTGATCTGCAGGCTCCGCCTGAAACAGCTCCAAGCCATCTGAAGAGTTTTCTCCCTAGAGGTCGTAGAAATGTGCAATCAGTTTCCACTTAAGCACACGGGGTGGGGGGGGTGGGGGGGCGCTGTCTCTGCTCACAGATCCCATCGAAGAAATAACCTTGAGCGCCACCCTCTGATCCTACGCAGCCTTTACTGGCCGTGCCTCCTCTTTCTGTGTGGTCTTCTTTCTACGCACATCTGTCTGCTTTTACATGATACGTGGTAAGTGCTCAAAAACATACCCATGTTAGATTGTTTTTGAAAATTCGGATTGTAATATATTGCGTATGGACATAATATTATATTTTTATACTTTCCATCTGTCCTCCAATATTTCTCAGCGGTCTTTCATGGCTGCATCGTTCCCAGCATGTGAAGGTATAAGAATTTCTTTAGCTAATCCTCTAGTATTTGGACAGTTTGTCTACAGTTTTTCACCATTATAAATAATTCATTGGACTTACTTGTAAGCAAATCTTTGTGTGCATTGCTGCTTACTTGCTTAGTACAAATTCCTCGAGGTAAAAGAGTAAAAGATCAGTGAAAAGAGTAGCGTATAGCTCTAGATTCTTCACATATGTCGCCCAATACGTTACGCTCCAGGGAAGTGTCTAACCCACGCTCCTATCAGCAGCCGGTTGTAATTTCACCACAGCCTCATCAGGACTAGGTATCTGTATTTTTACAGAATCCCTGGAAATTGGCAATAAAAAACACAGGAGACACTTTTAGATGTGAACTTGGGTAACCTGTCCCTAGCGTTTTATAGACGTTATGCAAATATAAGGGGTTAATCTAATTATAGCAGTTGGATTTTTAGAGGTCTTCTGTTTGCTTCTGAAATCACGCCAAACAGGCCAGTCCTCCTCAGCCAAGGGCTGACCTGGACCTGATCACGCAGCGTCTGTGGCGACAAGAGCCGCGGGCTCACACCCCCTCGGCACCTGTGGTCCTTACTAAGGACTGCGTACGCCCAAGGTGCGCCGTCAGCTCACCAGCGCCGCATCTGGAAAACAGGGGTAATAACAGCGTCCTTCACCCAGTTCTTGCGGGAATCTCATGAGATGGTTCCCATAAAGCACACAAGTGCCAGCATGATAAAACCAGCTTTTCCAACCAGACTGCAACTCCGTTAGGGCCAGGACCAGTCCTACACCCCAGCATCTATACTGTGCTACCTGGTGGCAGTCAGTTAATAAATGTTGGACGGAGGGATGGATAGAGGGAAGACATGGATGGGTAGAGGGAGGAAGGCGTGCATGAATAGATGGATGGATGGACCAGTGGATGGACAGATGGGTGGGTGTATGGGTGGACAAATTAATCAACTGGTTTAAAAAAGGCAATTTCTCAAAAAATTAAACATAGAATTACTGTATGATCCAGCAATTCCACTCCTGGGTATACACCCAAAAGAACTGAAACCAGGGGCTCAAACAGATATTTGTACACCCACGTTCCATAACAGCATTATTCACAATAGCCAAATGGTGGAAACAACCTAAATATCCATCAAGGCATGAATGGGTAAGAAAAATGTGGTGTATACATACAACGGAATATTATTCAGCCTTGAAAGGAAGTAAATCCTGGCATCCTACAACGTAGAGGAAACTTGAGGACATTGTGCTAAGTGAAATAAGCCAGTCACAAAAGGACAAATACTGTATGACTCCACTTATGTGAGGTACTTAGACTAGTCAAAATCATAGAGACAGAAAGTGGACTGGACGCTGCTGGGGGCAGGGGGAGGGGATGGGGAGTAGGTGTTTAATGGGAACAGAGTTTCAGTTTTACAAGATGAAAAGGGTTCTGGAGATGGATGATGGTGATGGTTGCACAACATTATGAATGTATTTAATACCGCTGAACTGTACCTAAAAATGGCTAAAACGGTAAATTTACATTTTGTATACTTTACTGCAATAGAAAAAAGGCAAGCAAGCTTGATGCAACATCAAATGTAATGAAAGCAAATCCCTTACACTCCAGGAGCTTACATTTCAGATTTAAGCA